CACAACCCAGCAGCAGGACCGCTACCTCCGCCTTTGTGCAAGGAGGAACAGGAAGAGCACTGCCAGAGCCCTGCAAAATGACCTCCAGAAGGCCACAAATGTGCATGTGTCTGCTCAAACGTTCAGAAACAGACTCCATGAGGGTGGTATGAAGGCCCAATGTCCACAGGTGGGGGTTGTGCTTACAGCCCAACACCATGCAGGACGTTTGGAATTTGACAGGGAACACCAAGATTGGCAAATTCGCCACTGACGCCCTGTGCTCTTTATATGACAGACGTGACAGAGCCTGGAGACACCGTGGAGAACGTTCTGCTGCCTGCAACATCCTCCAGCATGACCGGTTTGGCAGTGGGTCAGCAATGGTGTGGGTGGCATTTCTTTGGGGGGGCCGCACAGCCTTCCATGTGCTTGCCAGAGGTAGCCTGATTGCCATTAGGTACCGAGATAAGATCCTCAGACCCCTTGTGAGACCATATGCTCGTGCGGTTGGCCCTGGGTTCCTCCTAATGCAAGACAATGCTAGACCTCATGTGGCTGGAGTGTGTCAGCAGTTCCTGCAAGACGAAGGCATTGATGCTATAGACTGGCCCGCCCGTTCCCCATGCCTGAATCCAATTGAGCACATCTGGGACATCATGTCTCACTCCATCCACCAACGTCACGTTGCACCACAGACTGTCCAGGAATTGGCAGATGCTTTAGTCCAGGTCTGGGAGTAGATCCCTCAGGAGACCATCTGCCACCTCATCAGGAGCATGCACTGGCATTGTAGGGAGGTCATACAGGCACATGGAGGCCACGCACAATACTGAGCCTCATTTTGACTTGTTTTAAGGACATTACATTACAAAGTTGGATCAGTCTGTAGTGTGTTTTTCCACTTTAATGTTGAGTGTGACTCCAAATCAGACCTCCATGGGTTGAAAAATTTGATTTCCATTTTTTTTTTTTGTCAGCACATTCAACTATGTAAAGAACAAAGTATTTCATAAGAATATTTAATTCATTCAGATCTAGGATGTGTTATTTTAGTGTTCCCTTTATTTTTTTGAGCAGTGTATATAAAGTAACATTAAAAATAATCATTTTATTTTTCTTTCACTTTTTCATATCCTTTTGCCTCATATCTTTATGATTATGTTGTACCCTTTGCCACTTTATATCTATTATTTTATTTCTTTGTGCTGGATCTCAATGCCAGGTACCACAATTTTGTTCTCATCTGTCTCCAGTTTTCCCTTCTGTTTGCATTCTTGTGACTGGTGGTGAAACAAAAATGGAATGTTGCTTAAAGGGACGCTAAAGTCATCAAAACTAGTTCAACTTAATGAAGCAGTTTTGATGTACAACCCATTCCCCTGCAGTCTCACTGCTCAATTCTCTGGAAAAACACAAGAGGGTTCCTTAACCTTGTTCGTATTTTGCTGGAAAGCACCCAGGTGCTTGTTTGTTGGGGGTTGAGTGCCAGAATTTCATATATACACACACATATATACACACACACACACACACACACACTATGGTGAATTTTTGTGTTCTTTATGTAATACTCTGACATTTCACAGTTTAGTGAAATCAGTTTAATGTTGTCAAGTCTTTGGGCGAGTGGTGCTGCCAGGTGAAATTGCTATGTAGATATTACTTTAAAAATGCTACTTTAAAATATAAACCTTTTCATGGTAATAATCAGAGGTATACAGAGGTAGTCAAATAACTAACTCAAATCCATTTAAAAGTGCCAACAGAGAACTAAACAGGGGGCGGTCAAGGCAATTTGTCTCTCAGTGTGCTTGGGAACGCCCATGACTGTGCTGTGATCATGGTTTGAAGAAATTGCCGCACACAAGAGATCATAAAACATAGACTGACAACTAGTATGATCAATGACTCCGATTTTGAAATTTGTTCTTCTAAAAATGCCATATGTCAGACAAAGTAGGAAATGTCATGGTGTATGTATGCAACCATTTGAAAATCAGTGTAAAGTGGTTTATTTCAGCCCAAAATACAGTCGATCTAAAGAAAATAGGTGGAATTACAAGTGCTGAGAAATTAAAAGTAATAATGTCAATATCATTTGTAGTGTACAGATTCTCTTAACATACACTTGTTTCCTTTGTAATGCCTTATTTTCTTGTCTGTTTTGTTGGGGCTCTTAGTCTCAAGCCTAATCGCCCCGTTTGACTAACCTCAGCCACCTATAATCCTGCTTATTATAATATCTGCCCCAGTGACTTATTATTTTGCATATGTTGTTCATTAAAAGAATATTATTATAGGATTTCAAAACAAAGCAGATGGTGAAGAACCTTTTGTAATGGGGGATTCATTAAAAGAGCACTCATTTTAAAGAATCTTGCTTGATAAGCCTCTTTTTGAATCATTATTTCTGTTTACCCATCTCTTGCCGTGCTATTGTTATTATTAGTTATAATGGTTTGTTCATCCCTTTATATTCTGTTATAATAAATATTTAATAAAGTGTATCGACTGCCAGGGTTTGTGGCATGCCTTGGAGATACATTTCCAAATTTTTGTAAGTGCATGTTTTTTAAAGCTCTATGATGTGTGTATTATTTGATATAGTATAACTCGGATGTATAGTAAAATCTGAATCTTATTTTATACCAAGATTCAAATAGAAACCTGGAGGAATTACACTTTTTAATATATTCAAGGCACATTTAATTTTCTTCTGTCAGAGTTCACCAGTAAAGGCTCATCTGCAGGGGCAGTTAAGCAGAGCCCCACCAGTTTTTGTTGCACTACAAAAAAATAAATTAATTTGAATTATAAATCTTTTTTTTAACTTTCTATGTGTGTAAACTTTTTTTATCCAATATGTGATGCCTTTTTTTCAATTCTTTATTTTAAAGAACAGGCAAAACAGACAGGAACAGTATATCTGTACAATAGTGTAGCATGCTCAAAAGTTTAGTACAAATATTTTATAGAAATTCAGGGAGAACGTGATAAACAAAAAGTGGAGATTGGAAAGGGAACCCGCTGTGGTGGTGCTGCCTAGATCAGAAGGAGCATTGTCAATTAGGTTGTGGAGATGTACTCTGTCCATGGCATCCATATATTTTCAAACGATAATTAGTTGTTATCACTCATGTGATTCATCATATAATTTTCTAAATTTCGTTAACCTCCCTTATTCATGGGACCATAGTGGGTAACCAAGATGCTGCCAGATTAATTTTGTTAAGCAGCTTTTGAGCTCTCTTGAGTAAGCCCTCCAAATTGTGAGATCGTAAAAATAACCAAGGATCATATGATCTTTAGAATATAGATGCCAGCAACCACCTTCCAAAATGCTACCACCATAGGGCATATGGAAATAGGTTCCACGCTGGCCGCATAACTGTCTGCAAGTATCAGGGGGGAACTTACCCATGGGACTAGTATGCCATCTGAATTGCATTTTGTACATTTGTTCCTGGAAGAGCGTACAAATGGACTAGTAGTAGACACTGTAAGTAATAACAACCTTAATGTATTATTGATAGAATATGGGTATTAGCACATTAAGTGAGCAAAGTCCAACAGATTAGGAGAAATACCACCCTATTATAAACCATTTTGTATTTATATTATACATGGCTTCTTACTACACCCTAGTATGTGTGGATGATACGTAATAGTGTTACAACGATCACCAATGTTTGAGGAGGAACCTATTTTATATTTACAGGTATTCTACACTGTACAAAATTATTTTGTTTTTGTCATCCATCTCACAGGTGAGGCATATCAAGATGCTGATTAGACAGCATGATTATTGCAGAGGTGTGCCTTAGGCTGGCCACAATAAAAGGCCACTTGAAAACCAGTCAGTATTTGGTGTAAACACTATTTGCCTCACACAGTGCAACACATCTCCTTCGCATAGAGTTGATCAGGTTGTTGATTGTGGCCTGTGGAATGTTGGTCCACTTCTCTTCAATGGCTGTGCGAAGTTGCTGGATATTGGCAGGACCTGGAACACGCTGTCGTATACGCCGATCCACAGCATACCAAACATGCTTAATGGGTGACATGTCAGGTGAGTATGCTGGCCATGCAAGAACTGGGATGTTTTCAGCTTCCAGGAATTATGTACAGATCCTTGCAACATGGGGCCATGTATTATCATGCTGCAACATGAGGTGATGGCCGTGGATGAATGTCACAACAGTGGGCCTCAGGATCTTGTCACGGTATCTCTGTGCATTCAAAATGCCACCAACGGTTTCTTACAGTTTGTGCAGAAATTCTTTGGTTATGCAAACCGATTGTTGCAGCAGCTGTCCGGGTGGCTGATCTCAGACGATCTTGGAGGTGAATGTGGTCCTGGGCTAGTGTGGTTACACGTGGTCTGCGATTGTGAGGCCGGTTGGATGTACTGCCAAATTCTCTGAAACACCTTAGGAGATGGCTTATGGTAGAGAAATGAACATTCAATTCACGGGCAACAGCTCTGGTAGACATTCCTGCAATCAGCATGCCAATTGCATGCTCTCTTAACACTTACGACATCTGTGGCATTGTGCTGTGTGGTAAATCTGCACATTTTAGAGTGGCCTTTTATTGTGGCCAGCCTGAGGCATACCTGTGCAGTAATCATGGTGTTTAATCAGCATCTTGATATGCCACACCTGTGAGGTGGATGGATTATCTCGGCAAAGTAGAAGTGCTCATTAAGACAGATTTGTGAAAAATGTTTGAGAGAAATAGGCCTTTTGTGTACATAGTCTTAGATCTCATGAAAAATGGGGGCAAAAACAAAAGTGTTGTGTTTATAATTTTATTCAGTGTACATACTGATATATTTTCTTCTTCTCATACTTGATTGTGGCTTTGTCATTGTAATAAAACATTATATTAGTAATAATTGAAAGATCATACATTGGCTTCTACTGTACACATTATAGTATTGTGTATAAGAATAAACTCTTACACCACAGGAGCAAGCCTTAAACTAGCTAAATTAGCATTTTTGAGATAGCAAAAGGCTCATATTACGCACAGCATGCATCCTGACTAAAGGGAGACACTGACAGCCCAGATATAATCATTCCTGCACACCTAATCTGCCATTTGGCTGTGCGGCCTACCAGGATTGATAACCTGACAGCTGGGAAAGACGATCGATCTCCCGCTCGGAATTGCACATTCCACAAGAAACCTACTAAAGCCCCTTTGGACCACTGGATATACTCACTACTCTGCAGGGGAGAACTTGAGCTCAGTGTTCCTGAAAACTCGTGAATTCAAGATGGCCGCCATGCTGGGACATCCATTACATCAAGCGGACCCAGGGATCCAGGACTGGGTGCCGAGATTCAAGAACAGATTTGATAAACTGTGCCCGGATTTCTGGATACGAATAGCCTGCAACTCCCATGCTACCACTTCACTTTACTGGACTCACCAACGAGTAGAGAGGCCTAGCCGAGACCCTAATGCAGGGCTGACAGTGGGCAAGCGGCGGTCCGGTCCTGCTGAGGGCCCTGATCCATCATGAGACACCCCCTGACCCACTGCTTACACCCTCAGAAGACTCACCATGTCATACAAAAGCCTGGCACCAGGCCAGGAGATCAAGCCCAACCTGTGACTCGAATAGAGACTTGTGAGATGGGTATTGTGGTCTGTAACTCAGCTAGGGGCAGCAGGGGCACAGTTTAGCTGGACACCTGGGATCTCTTTCTCTGGATCACTAAGCATTATGCATCAGGCATAAGCTAAGCTAGTTACCACCATAATATAACATGCTTTATGCTGACAGCTCTTTCACAGTCTATTTTTATGCCCAGTGATATATCTTAAGCTGCAATGTGTCAGTTGATAATGCCTACCTATCTTTTGCCTTTATCACTCTACTACTGACATATGGCTCCATCTCACGAGTTTAGCAACTACTACCTACTGCTCACCTACTTATCCTCTTGTCAAGCAAGTTCCTTCTTTATCAACATAGTTTTCACTCTGTGACAGGTTGATTATATTTCTTGTTATACTTTTCTTTTTTTTTAATTGTCTGCAGTAATCTCTGACATAAGCAATTTATCTACGTTGCCATGTATGCCTTCTCTATTATGCCAGTACAAACCTTTATGTATGTATGTATGTATGTATCTAAACCACAAAAATAAAGATTTAAAAATAAAATCTTAAACACCACAGATGCCACTCAGTTCACCATTCACCCCCTTTAAACATTCTTATATGGTTTTGCTTAAAGTTTCTTGCCCACCTTGTTTTATATATGCTTTGCTTATTGTTACCTGCTGTTAGTGCATTGTATTGTCGTGAAAGGAATCCATACTGGGCCATATGACTCACCATAGATACCTCTTCACTTCATTCCTCCTAGCATTTCAATGTACAAAGAGGGGCACTTCTCTCCTCCTCCTCACCGCCTCCTCTCCTCCTCTTCGGCTGAATGCGCATGCATCTAATACAGGTTTCATTTTATGATCCCAAACCAATGGTTCTTCTGTGTCAGGAAAACTTGGCTGAATGTTTGTCATGCTTTTAAAATAATGTGGGTTACCACGGCAACATGACAAACACCGGGGCTCGTGAGAGCAGATACACTGGGTCTAGGGAAGCTAGGATGTGTACCACCAAGGATTCCCATCTCCCTTCCCAAGGTAAACCACAGGGAGGGGGGAATAATTAAATTTATTTTAGATAATTCCCCCCAGCCCTATCCTCATTACAGTCCCCATTCCCAGAAGTACAGCCCCTATACTGCCTCTACAGCCTCTATCCCATCACAACAGCCCTCCCCTACCTCTACAGCCCCTTCTCCAATTTCAGCACTCAACCCCCAATACAGCACCTATCATCCATTAAAGCTCCTGTCTCCCCACTACAGCCCCTACCCCACTGCTACAGCCACTATACCTCATTACAGCCCTCATATCTCACCACAGCCCCTATTTTCCCACTTAAGCCCCTATTACTGTTAATAATCCACCTCTGTCTTCACATAACAGTCGATATCCCTCCACAATTCCCCCATATGGCAGCCCTCAACCCCTCTTTATAGCCCCTATTCTCCCACTACAGATCCTGTATCCCCTCTTCAGTCCCTTTACTCCCACTGCAGTCCCTATACTGCCATTACAACCCCTATTTTTTTTAAAGTATTTCCCCTCAGTCCATGTATTCCCACTACAGCCTCTATCCTTCCACTACAGTCCCTGTCTCCCACTACAGCCCCTATTCCCCAACTACAAACTATTCCCGCACGGCAGGGTTTTTCTCCACATTACAGCCCCTATGATGATGTTACAACCCCTGTACCACCACATTTCTGCCCCAACGACCATAACCCCATAACAACCCCTAACCACAAAACCCCCACACTACAGTCTCTATCCCCAAATTACTGCTACAGCCCATTACTAAAACTACAGCTTCTGTCTCCCCACTGCAGCATCTGTCTCTGCATTACAGCCTCTTTCCCCACATTATAGCCCCAATCCCACACACTACAGCCCATATTCCCCATGTTATAGCCCCTAACCACACAGCTCCCACACTACAGTAACTATCCCACAATTACAACCCCTAAGCCCCTACTAAAGCCCTCTTTCCACCGGAGCAACCCCAGTCCCCCACAGTACAGCTCCAATTCCCCACAGTATGTTGACGGGGACTTATATGGGTGTAGCTTACAAGTAGACATGTGCAATTCCTTAGGTCCGAATGTAAATTTACATGTATTTCATCAATTTGGACATCTGGATTTTTCCGAATGTCCGAAGTGCCGAATTTCGGAAGTGCTGAACCAAATTGTCGAAGTGGCGAATTTCGGAAGTGCCAAAGTGCTTCGGATTTCTGAAAGGTGGCAAAACAAGAGAGGGAGGGAGAATTACGGGAATAGTGACAGGAATCTAACCCTACGCCTAACCCTACCCCCAATCCCAACCCTGACCCTAGATGTGTAAGTGGTTGTGGTGGTTAGTGGTAGGGTTAGGAGTAGGGTTGGAGTCGGAAGTAGGGTTAGTTGTAGGGTTAGGGGTTGGTGGTAGGGGTAGGGTTGGGGTTAGAGCATAGGAGATAGGAGTTAGGGTTAAGGGATTGCCGAAGTGCTGAACCGAGCCAAAGTCCCGAATTTCAGAATTGGTGAACCGAACTAATTTTTTTGCCCATGCACATCCCTACTTACAAGTTGGTGGGCACAAGGGGCCCCATGATTACCTGAGGCCCCATGAGTTGTCAGTTTGCCTGTGGTGCCAGGGGTGTTGCTAGGTTCCAGAAACTCCTGGTACTTGAGCCCAAAGGAAAGCTTGATGACCCGTACACTAACAGAGGAGGAGGTATATGTCATGATAGTTTCCTACCTTTCTAGGCTTTGTCCCCTCCTCTCTACCCACGAAGAGCAATCTGCTGATAATCAATTAAAGCATAGACCTTTTATACATTCAGCAAAAGTCTTAATCAGTCTTATAATTATCCAGAAGTCAAAAGACATGGGATGGCTAGAAGTAAATAAAAATAAAATGCAAACTTTATTTGAAAATTGACAGCTGGAAGCAGTACTCCACAACAAGAACACCCTACAGATTTTGTCCTGATGTGGTTTTCTACCAAAATGAAATAGACTTCCCATCTGCCTAGTAGAATAATTTAGGCATAGCATCAGTAACTCTTATAAATAATTTTACACAAGTCTTTGTAGCACAGGTCCTTGCGACAGTTGAATAATTTTAGAAAATGGATAATTCCTTAAAGTAGTGATATTATAATGCAGTATCTTTACCTTTGATATAATTAAATATGGTTTGCTCTGTATTTCCATATTTTGCGTTCCTTAGATTACCTGAGTTAATATTTACCTTCTGAATGTAATTGCAAGAAGTACTTTCACTAATTCCAAATCAGTGACATTTTCAAAGCAGGTTATCATTAGCTGAAAGGTCTGTAAACATATTTAATGTCAGGTTACATTACAATTTCAAGGAAGAGTGGAAAGAGATCCAGAGAACATGCAACAAAAAGGCATCTTGTGCCTTGGGCTTTTTTTCAATCTGTTGTCTTCTGTGCACTATACATCATAGGCAATAAGACAGCAGGGCTTTTTTGATATAACATGGTTCTGAGGAGTGCTTACGTAATAAATGCATCAATATTCTGACTTCCACATATATGTGATGGCCATGTTCTAATGCAAATTCCACTTCTTTTGACATGTGTGTGTTTTTTTTGTTTTGTTTTTTAAATTCTTTATTTTTGTTGTGTACGCATTAACAACATGCTTGGATAGCCACAACAGCTATAACAAGCTCATTAGCAATAAAGTATAACAACATCATGGCATATTTAGTAACGGCTCAATTTTTTAAAATTGGTAAATATAATTTGCAGAATATAATAACGTAGAGTTAATGTTAATGTGTGAAAAGAGTAGTTTCCGATCCGGTCGTAGGATTAGGTTTGGCATGAGTGCTTATGATCTAGAGTGAACGTGTAAGTGGAGGCATGCTGTGCGCTTGTGTGTCGTATGTGTCGAGGTCTAGTGGGGACCGTGCCCTCTAGGGGAGTAGGTTGATGTGCCTTTGTTGCGGGGGTACAGGGAAACCCCATTTATAGGCCATGTGGGTGTCTATAAGGCAATTTAGAAGGAAGGGGCTAGTGCATAGCCTAGGCTGCCTTAGGCAGTTATAGTGAACGGAGGATACTCACATGTAACCTGTGTGTTTTTAAACTCCCAGTTATTTAAAACTTTTTATGGAGTCAAATTGACAATTAACCCCTTGACGACCGATGACGGTTCAGGACCGTCATCGTAAAAATCCCCGTGGGGACCGATGACGGTCCTGAACCGTCATAACTGTCTGGGGCTACTTACCTGATCGCCGTCGGTCCCCCGGCGGCGATCAGCGCTCCTCCCGGTCCAGGGGGACTGCCTGTCTGCCCGGGCAGTCTCCCCTCAGCAGATCACGTGGCCGCAATAGGTGCCTGTGTATCTGCCTGCAGGGGGACTGGCTGTGCTGACAGGCAGTCTCCCTGCAAGTGAAAAATCAAAAATAAAGTTAAAAAATAAAGCAATCAGTGTAAAAAATAAAAAATATGTATATGTATATATGATATATATATACATGTATCATATCTATATATAATATATGTATATATATCATATATATAATGTCATACTAAGTGTATTTTTATATTTATATATACGTATATTAATATAAAAATACACTTTTAATTTAAATTACACACGTATATATACAATATATAATAACTATATATATTGTGTGTATATATATATATTATTATAAATTATAAATACTATGTTAATAAAAATAAACAAAAAGTAAAAATAATTTATAATAATTAAAAAAAATTATATATGTAATTTTATTCTAACAGTATTTTGATATTAATATATATATTTATATCAAAATACACTTACAATGTAATGATATATATATCTATGTATAAATAAATAAAAATAATACGAAATATACATATGTCCATATACATAATTACATAAATAATTTCATA